AGTTTTGAAAATCTCATAACCTGTGCAAGATGTCAGATACAGCAGAACAGCTATCACAATTGTCTACAGTCACTTGTATTCCAGTTAGATTTTCGAGATATAAAAACACTGTCAAGATCATTGGTTGTAATAAACATGAAGCCCAGACCCTTCGACCCAGCCCAGACACTCCTACAGCTTCATTCTGAACGGATCCACCAGAACCCTTCATCTTTTTTTTTAAACTGGACTATCATTAAAGATTTGACAGCAAAAATACACTCATAACAAACATCATAAATCTAAAGGAACAGCAGTTCCTTCATTTACAAACCTGCAGTGAACAGCAAAATTATGAAGCCTGCTTTACATCAGGTGTTGGTGAATTGTCACAGCAAAATAAAGCACCAGAGGCCGTCTTTTCTGAGCAGGTGACTGTGTTCATTTCACATAGTTAATAAATTCTAATAGCGAAGTACTCTTCTGTATGCAGAAGGCTAGTACAGCTCCTTTCATCACTACCAGGAAGGTATCTCCCTTAACAAAAGACAACAGCAACCATACAGGGAGCAAAACCTGTCCTTCATTCAAAATAACTAATTTGAGGAAGGGATGTATGGCCTTACATCATATGTGTTAGCACAGACAATACCGCTCAAATATCCCCAAAAGCAATTAGCAAAAGAACAACAAAAAATTATCTTGGTCAGCAAAGAAAAACCCAGAGAAAAGTTAATGTTTTAGCACAATGAAGCCACAAACAGCACTCTGAGCAGGCACCATGGCCTTGTCAGGATCACAGTTTCAGTTTTACAGCAAGAAGGTAGAAAGTGAAAGCCTGGCTTGTGCTTCAAAGCAGCGTGTAGTCTCTGCGCAGGAAATCTGCACCGAAGTTGTGCGCGTATGTTTTTTCAAGGCGCTCCATGGCTCGTTGGATAACAGGCACACCGGCAAGTATGCCAATGGCGGCTGTCCCAGAGACAATGCGACAGACACGCAGTCAATGGTTACTGTCATCCAGCTCTTTGCGTGACACGCAGACAAGCTTAGAGAACACTGATTGTCCTATAGACTCCGGCGACTGGAGGGAACGACCAGTCAGCTTACACCAAGACACATTTTTCACTCCTGACGTTTTGATAAAGGCTTATTGACCTAAATGAGACCCAAGTTATTCAGGGAACATCGGGGGTGAAAGAGCACAAGCTGTTCTTCATGGTCATACACAAAAACTCCAGGTATCCATTAGCAACTGGCAAATTCCCCCTCCCCTGCCTGTGGCTGTGTGACAGACAAAAGTGGTTTTAATATCTTGCATTGCGTACGTCTAATAAGTAGTCTCCTGGGGGTGGGGGAGGCTGATGAATTTGTCGGTACACACTTACATTAGTAGCCAGAAACTTGCAGACAAGGGAAAAATACATTAGAAAATCGTGCCTTCCTGAGCTACTAAAATATCACCTCTGTTTTCCTGATGAACAGCTTAACACAAAACTTTACATTAACTAGAAGGATGCCAACCTGATCCTTAGTTCATTTATGTGGGTGGTAATTAGGGTTAATTCCATTTAACAGGAGTTACTGTGGCAGAGAGCAGCACTGTCTCACACCTGAGAACTTCAGCAAATCTGAGTTGCACTACAGATTAATTTGGTCCACTACTTCTTCAATGCTTCCTCCTAATTGCCTGCTGAACACCTACCTGCTAAGTGCATTGCATAGAAGTTTGTGCTTCTCATTTAATCAGCCAGACTGAAACACGGCTTTGAGAAGACTTAGAACAAAACTGAAGCTGATACAGGAAAATGGAAGGATAGAGTGCTGAGCAGACAGACAGGATCCAAAGAATGAGTGAAATAAGAAAAAAAGCAACATTCAGCAAAAGAGAAAAACTAAATTACAGAGGAAATAACTGCCTGCAAAACACTACTGGGGGGTTTCTTCGCGAAAATTGCAGACACAAGAACTGCAGGGTGCAAGGACACTCAGCCCTGTGTAACTTAATTGTGACCTCCTTTCTACAAGGTGAAAACAGAAATACAACACAGATAAACTTATACTGACATGGTAAGAAGAGTCCTCCGAGACGTGACAGTTGTGTACCTTCATACTGCGGGCATACAGGAGCCCTCTTGCTTAAGAGGAGAGACTTTTTTTTTGTTTTAATTACCGATTTGTACATGGTACCTTCACTTCTGCCATCCCTCCTCTCAGCCCAGGCATATGCTTAACGCCATCTTCACGCTTTCTCAGCCACATAATCCCAACACAGCCAAGTACCAGATTAACTCTGGATGAAAAGGTAGAGATGATTAACACGAGATACACATGTAGATCACTTTTCTTGAAGAACTCTATCAGTGTCAGTAACTCTCCAGCTGTGAGCAACTCCTCACATGTAAATTCACACCACTTTTAATGACAAGGAACAGGTAGACAAGACCAGTGTAACAAGCCTTGGGCATTTCTACTGTGGTACAGTGCTTGGTGAAACTACAGTAGATCCCCAGGTAACCATTTAGCATATGCCAGGGAATGAAGTATTTCTCATAAAGACCAGTAAAAGAGCTTGAGGGTTGGAGCAATGCACTGTGCATTGGTGCAGGAGTGGAGTCAGCATGTGGGATCCATTTCAGAAGTCTCACAATAGATTTTTCTGTGCAACTCACTACTCACTTTTACATTTTTGACATGGAAACAGAAGTTCCATTGAGTCGATCAGGTACTACGTGAACAGTTTTGGGTATTGCTTCAACTATAATGAAAGAGCCATTATTAAAAAAAATTATCCTCGGCCTGAGACAGATATGTCATAACTTAATCACCTGGCTAAAGAACAGGTCTCATCACCCGATGAAGAATCTTAGGCAGGATCCATAAAAACACAGTCCCTTTGACAAGCATATCCATGCTATCTGGCATTACAGCCTGTATCTCCACAGTTCCCATGGATTAATCACAGTTTTGTAATAAGCTCACACAGGGAACACACAGAGAAGGGCTCAAAGAACAGCTGTGATGAAAAGCCCATATATTTGGTTTGACTTACACCAAAGAACTTGACTTGCTATGGGTAAGGATACTTTAACTATTGCCCTGACTAACTTCAGGATGCCAAGTGAAAAGAACAAGAAAGTTCCTTCCATCAGAGGATAACGGGGAAAAGTCACTCATGAAAAGGACTGTGACTAAATTGAAGGAGGGACCAGACTTCTTCAGCTGTGTGACTGGTGACTGGAGTGTCAGATCTACGGAAACAAATACACACA